GAATTATGGATTCAAAAATCATCAATTTTAACCAATAAAATTTATTTTAGCCGATTTTGATCTACATACATAAGTCTATATAATTAATAACTATACGGCACCATAATTTTTAATATGGCTATCATAATAAGAAAAATTTGCCCTTAAATTTTATTACATGCGCAGTGATTGATATCCTTTTTCATATATAGTAACATTTTTCTCATATTTCAGATAAGTCTTACTTATCTTATCATTTCTTTGATGATTTCTCATATCATCTTTCCTTTTCTCATATTTCTTTGATGATTTCTCATATCATCCTTCCTTTTCTCATATTTCTTTGATGATTTCTCATATCATTCTTTTCTTATTAATTTTACAAATCTTTCTTTCATTTTCTCATATAATTTTCTTTTATTTCTCATTTAGATCTTGTATGAAGACAACAATCTTTTACTTTCTCGAAGCATGCACCAAAAATGTGACACGCCGCCCATAGGATATTAAAATAAAATATCGTATGTTGCCACCGACGTGTTGAGTTCGTATAATATCTATGCTTGGTTTAAAATAAAAATTAGTTACAAAAATTACAAAATATTATTTTCTTACCAAATATTATTTTAAATTCTCGAACTTACAGCTATTTTCTAAATTATTGACCTCCCCCCTGTTATTTTTAAAAAAATTTTCAGACACAGTCAGACGCAATCAGACGCAGTCAGACACAGTAATTCGGGCTGATTTATAGTGCCGGCCGGAATTATGAGTCATGTGGTTACACAAATTCCAAAAAAGGAAAATTTTGAATTTGCAAAAATCACAAATATTTTTTGTGAAATGGGTATTGCCAAAAAAGGAAATTTAACACGATAATATTTCCTTTTTTTGGCGATACCCATTCCACAAAAAATATTTTTGTGATTTTTGCAAATTCAAAATTTCCTTTTTTGGAATTTGTGTAACCACATGACTCATAATTCCGGCCGGCACTATAAGTCAGCCAGAATTACTGTGTCTGACTGCGTCTGATTGCGTCTGACTGTATCTGAAAAATTTTTTAAAAATAACAGGGGGGGGTCAATAATTTAGAAAATAGCTGTAATAAAACTAAGAATTTTTCTTGTAAATTCTGATTTTCAAAAATTAAGGATGTATACATTGCTAACTTACAAGAAATTATACCTTTAATTAGATCTATAAAAGTAATTTTCATCTCACTATAGGCACGATCACTGATCAAAATCATTTCTTTCGTCACCAAGACCTTTTGGTAAAATTTCATCTGAAGTGTCATGTGATTCAACTAGATTTTGGCTAAACTTAAAAATCAAAAAAAATTGACCAATAACTTTTAGTTGATATTTTATAAAATTATGTATCACGTGCATTTCGCGATAAGTGATACTATATTTATTAAACTTGAATTAAACCTTTTTTTTCTCATACTTCCCTTTCCACTCACTTTTTCATTTTATTTTTCCACTCACCCCATTCGTCACTCTTTCGTCTTCCCCTTTCTACTCACTCTTTCGTCTTCCTTTCCCTCTCACTTTTTCGTCTTTTTCTTTTTCCTTTCTTTCATCCATTCTCTCTTCCTTCTTTTTAAGTGACACCTTAGCTCTTTGGATACGGTATTTTAAATTTTTATTATTTCCCTTGTTTTCACCTTAATAAACTAATTTCAAATTTTTTTTTTTAGTTATTCAGCTTTTAGACGTGTAGGAATTTTGGTAGGAGAGTTAGATTTTTTTAAAAATTTTATTTAACGAAACGTTTGCTAATGTTTTCATTCTTTTTTTTTGTAGGTTCAAGACACCCTTAAAATATAATAGATATTAAGGTTTAAGGCATAGATTAGTCAATGGTAAATTTCAAAGTTGGGTTATTTTAAAACTTTAAAAAAAATGATTTACTAATCGTTTCTTTCTTCTTTTTGTAGGCTTTTACTTCAGACTGATAGATCAGGTAAGTTTTTGAAATATTTTGAAACTTTTTGAGATTTTTTTTTATAAAAGAATCAGTTTGCTAACCATTTCTTTATTTTTTTTGTAGGTTCTTCTTCGTACTATTATTGAGAAATAGACATGTAAGTTTTGATGTGTGTTTCAAAACTTTATTTTTTATTATTATTAAAGAAACGGACTAATCATTTTCTTTATTTTTTTTTGTAGGTTTCCATTAACGAATTGGGGTAATGGGTAAGTTTCGAATATATTTCAAAACTTTAATTTTTTTTTATTGAAGAAACATTAAACTAATTGTTTCTTCTTTTTTTTTGTAGATTTCCCCTTTAGACTTTTTATTGGATAGGTAAGTTTTGAATTTTTCGAAACTTCATTTTTTATTATTATTAAAGAAACGAACTAACCGTTTCTTTTTTTTTTGTAGGTTTCCATTATCGATTTGTAGGTAAGTTTCAAATATATTTCAAAACTTTGATTTTTTTATTGAAGAAACATTAAACTAATTGTTTCATCTTTTTTTTTGTAGATTTCTCCTTCGGACTTTATTGGATTGGTAAGTTTTGAATTTTTCAAAACTTCAGTTTTATTAAAGAAACAAATTAACTGTTTCTTTTTTTTTTGTAGGTTTCCAATAATCTTACTAATACAAACCAAGTTCTGTGAGAAAATTTTTTTTTCAATATGGAATAATTTCAAATCTATAGCATAAATAATTCTCAATAAGTGTATGCCAATAATTTTGATAAAAATAAAAATAACAGTGCTCCTCACTCCACCATATAATCAAAGATTTATTTTTCAATATATAGCTTTTCCAATATCAAACATGTATTATCATATTATAGGTGCAAACCATGAAGAATCTTCATGATTAAAAATCACATGAATATTCAGATTAAAATTCGAAATTAATAAACGTCCACCTTGTTTTTTCATATCTTCATCTTTATATACAATAAATAAGGGGTTCAATAAATACCATTTTTTCACATCTGTTATAATCACTATTATAATCCTCATACATGTTTGCTTTAAATTTGTGAGATAGTGAAAACAATCTAAATTTGCTCTACTGTATCTTATTTATATAATATTTAATACTTGAAAAATTCAAAACAAGTTTAAAACTATAAAATTTAAATATATATCAATAAGCAATTTAATAATTATACCTAATTTTTTATTAAATTTAAAATCTAATAAGAATTTTAATATAAAGGATTAATTATCTATTAATATTCTTTTTATCAAAAAAAATTACAATTAAAATTTTAAATTTTTGATATAATTACATATATTTAAATACTATTTAAATTGTTATCTATACATGCAATTTTAAAGTTAATAATAAGCAAATTGCAAAAAAAGAATACCAAATATAAAAGTCATTAGGTTTTAGTCATATAAAACAATTAACACAATGTCTTATATTTGATTAAGAATATACAAATCCATCATTTTGAGTCTTCAGTAATACATGGTCTCATGGATTTATAACTTAATAAACTTCTTCAATTTCTTCATCTATTTCTTCACCTTCATCATCACTACTTTCATGAGCAGTAGTAGTTTGTCTCTCATCATCCCCATCAGCACCTTCTTCCTCAGCAAAACTAGTAGTCCCATTTCGAGATTTATTAGGACTTATTCCATGCCCTGTTGTACTAATACTAGTTTCTGCATCTTCTTCCTCTTCCTTTTTAAATCTATTAACAATGTTACTGGCGCTAGCAGAATTAGTTATACTTGCAGCAGTTGTTGCAGCAGTTGTAGCAGTTGTAGCAAGGCGTTGTTTATTCTCTGCCTCCCTTTTTATCTTTTCATGATGTTTTAATTGTTTATTCCATAATTTATGATATACTCCTTCTATTTGCATCAGCTCCAAATGAGATCCTAAATTAATATAATTCATAAAGTTAATGAAATAAATAATATAAATAATGTATCTTTAATTAATTTACCTCTTTCAACAATTTCACCGCCCTGTAGTACAAGAATTTGGTCAGCATGTACAATTGTTGAAAGGCGATGAGCTAAACATTTTGAAGAAAACAATAAGAATTAGTTTGAATCTGGATAACAGAAATTGTTATTTCTTAAAATTTACCAATAATTAATGTTGTTCGATTTACAGTCATACGACGCAAGGATTTTTGTATATGCCTTTCTGTATGCGTATCAAGTGCAGATGTTGCTTCATCAAGTAACACGATTTGCGGATTCTAATTTATGTTATTATTAAATATATTAAATCAGTGGAAATAATTAATTGATTTCGGAAAAAAAAAAATTACCTTTAATAGTGTTCTTGCAATTGCCTATAAATTTAAAATTTTACTATAAATATTATGTTTGCTTATGATTTTATCATTCTTTTTAAAATAATGAAAGAAAACATACGACTCTTTGTTTCTCCCCGCCACTTAATCTAAGTCCTCGTTCACCAACTTTGGTATCGTAACCATCAGGAAAACCCAGTATTTTATCATGAATTTGAGCTGCCTCTGCAGCTTCCTCAACCTGCTTATCAGTAGCGCCTATTTTACCATAACGAATATTATATCTTATTGTATCATTAAATAATACTGTATCCTATATATATTTTTACATGGATTTGTTACTAGTTATATTTGTAAATATTAAATAATGTTGAAACTGCTTTATTTTTTGATAACATTACTTACCTGGGGTACAATTCCAATACAACTTCTTAAATCCCTTTGTCGAACATGCCTAATATCTTGTCCATCAACAAGAATTCGACCATTTTGAACATCATAAAACCTAAATAGGAGACGAAATATTGTTGATTTGCCACCACCAGATGGACCTACTAAAGCTACAGTAGAACCACTTGGAATAGTAAAAGAAATGTTTTTAAGGGTCGGAGTTCTTGGGTCATAATAGAAAGACACATTGTCAAAGATAACTTCTCCTTTTTGAACAGTAAGTGGTTCTGCATGAGGTAAATCCTTTACTTCCGGAAGTTCCTGGAGCAAATCAAGCATCTTTTCCATATCTACGAAATTTTTCTGAATTACTCTATAATAATTCCCAAACCAATTAAGCGGGCCATATAATTGTATAATGTAGGTTAAATACATAATAAAATCTCCTACGCTCATTTCATCTCTCCTTATTCGTGAAGCACACAAGAGACAACCAGCCAAAAGTCCCAATTGAATAACAACATTTTGAGTTGTATTAAGTATATATAAAGTTAAGTTGGATTTTTTGTCAGCAAGTTGATAAGACTTAATTGCATCCGAATATTGATTAACTAAATAATTATTATGTTAGAAAATAAACACATGAATGAATGAGTATATATATATTTAATTCATTTTTCTTACCTTCAAAAGATTCCGCAGTATACAATTTAACATTTTCGTAATTTAATAATGAATCGACTATATTAGAAAAGTATTGTAGTAAATTAAGTAAAATACGATTTGTCACCAGACTTGTAATATATAATCTGAATTGATTACCCACCTGCCTTGGATTCCATAGCATTATCTAAAAAATTTGTTAATCTTCTATATTTAGTTCTCCATTCTGTCATTATAATTGTAGATACTAAATATAAAGACATAGTCACAAACACAATCATTCCAAAGAAAATATCAAAAGCATATGTAAAATAGACTACAGCAATAGCTATATCAACCAGCGTAGGAACGACATCAAAAAGAAACGACGAAAGAATAGATACAATGGAAGAAACGCCACGATCTATAAAAGAAGTTGTACGTTGTTATTACAAATAAAAAGGTAACAAAAAGCAATAAAATAAATACCTTGAACTCGTAATATTTCCCCAGTCTTACGGCTAAGATGAAACCTCAGAGAAAGATTTAATAGATGTTCAAACATCTTTACCGAGATTTCACGCGTCGTGAACTACAAAATAAGTAATTACAAAGTTTACTCACTTCATACACTGCGAAACTTTAAATTGAATATAAAATACAATGCAAATTATTACTTGTCCAACAGGTATCCATAAAAAATTTTGTAACGTGTTTAGTAGACCCACGTTTCCTTGTAAAAATCTAAGACCAACAAAAACTAATATTTCTTTCCAAACAAATTCGCCCCTTTTCAAACCTTCAACCAATACTTTATTTTGATAAGGCAGCAAAATATTTACAATTCGACCAGCGACCAAAAGTAGAATGCAGATAAGTATAAATATTTGTAATTTCACATCATGCGTTGGCCATAAAAATGGTAATAATTTTTTTGATTTTGACAAAAATTCTCCAAGTTTTTTTGGTGGGGCATACTTTGGATCATCGGCCATTGAAATAGGCTTCTGAAGTTTTGGACTTATAGGTGGATTTTCAACATCAGCAGACGGTGTATCAATATCATCATCATTTATTATTGTATCATCATCTGCAGAAATGTCATGGTTAATATGGTGATCCAAACAAACATATCCATTAGACTCATTAGAACGTCTCCAAAGGAAGGTTAATATCATAGAAAATATAACTAATATTAAATGAATCGTGTATCGGATAAGATAAATTAACATTAAAATCCAATTTTGAGCCCAGTCATTTTGACCAAATGGATTTGTAATGTATATTAGACGATTATATAACTCGTAATTTGAGAGAATATATGCCAAATACCAATACCCTTGAGTAAAGTAACTCCACCTTTGATTTTTATTTTTTTCATAAACGACAAAACTATAATTTGATACCCACGAAATTGATATTAAAATTGTTGAAGTTGTAAGATAAGACGGTATATCCGCCTCAGTGCGTTCTTTTTCAATAAATATGACCACAATATACAATATGTTTGAAATTGATAATATGCTTATTAATACACATATAATATTTACTAGACTTTTTAAAGAATCCGGATATCCATTATATTTCGGACGTATATGATTGATTTCTTGGTTAACATGTTCGTCTAGATACGATCAAGTCAAAATGTTTAGGTTCGAAAGATAGGCGCTTGAGAGACCTGTAAAAAAAAGAGAAAAAAAATTTTATTCGTACCATGAATGGGTTTCCTTCGGGAGTATGCCCACCATATAACTCCAAATACCACCATGTAGACAAACAAAATATTCGCTATTAAAGTATGTAAACCACATAATGATATTCGACCGCTATGCTCAATTATTGGAAGACAAAAACTTGGCTGATCTATTGTTAGAGTATTAACCATGGAATTATTTTTTTTTTTTTATAATAAATCCTAAGAAAGTATGGTCGAAGTATTTGAAAAGATTGAAAGGGGTTATTTTTTTTACGAGACGTTCAACGTCTTTTTAAATAAAAGAAATAAAACTTTCTGAAATTTATAGGATGATCATATTGTGTCACAGATATACTAAATATAATTAACTTAATTACTTAATTTGAAGATCTATATATTCGACGTTTTGTGTTGACGCCTATAAATTTGGAAAGTTTATCTAGCCAAATAAGCGTTCAATGGCTTTCTTTTACTTGACAAAAAAAGTATCAAGAATCGGAAAAAAGTTTTAAAATAAATTAAAAAGGATTTAGGCGATCGGTCACGGTATTTTCACGTGATATTATTTAGTTATAAAAGCCGAAACTATTCTTTTTTCTCAGTACTAAATATTTTTCTTTTTTTTTCGTATTACAAAATGACCTTTTCTTTTTATGATGAAATAGAGATTGGTAATATTTCTAATTACTTTTTTTGGATTTTTATGTTTATTTTGATCCAATTAATTTTTTTTTTTACCTTTTGGTCTATTATAGAGGATTTTGAATTTGACGAAGAGACAAAAACATATCATTACCCATGTCCATGTGGTGATCGCTTCGAAATAACAATAGTAACTATGCGTTTTCTTTTCTTCTAATTTTATTATTTAATACATATACTTATTTATTTGATCTTTTAGGCAGATTTAATGGATGGGGAGGATATAGCTAGATGCCCAAGTTGTTCTTTAATGGTTCGAGTTATTTATGATCCGGTAATTGTAAATTTGAAATTCATCATTTAAGTATATTCTCGCATATATTAAATTTTCAAAATATTTCCTTAGGAGGATTTCCAAGATGATGATCAGGAAACAAATGTAGAACCTGGAAAACAAGCGATTACCGTATAAAAATATTTTGTAAGTTGATTTTCTCTTCCTATAATCTTTTTTATCTTTATCCTAAAAATAAAATTGTTTGTTGAGGCTTAAGTTTAAATTAATTTATCACTATAAAAATTATTTATTTCTTTGAGGGACAATAGTTTATTATAGTTTTGGGTAAAAGTTATACCTGCATTACATTTATAAGAGAAATATGAATATAAACGTATATTTTAATTGCGAATGTTAGATTATGATAATTTGGCATATGGGCTTTTAATTTTTTACAATTCTGAAATTTTACTATACAGTATATACTATTTGAACTTAATAATAATTTGATTGATGCAATTTATAAAGAAATGACCATTTATTTCTAAATTTTAAATATGTACAAATAATACATTTAATATTCGTCTTTTTTTCTTTTTTTTTCTTTAAAAAAAATATTTTACTATTTGATAGATTCCAATGAACTTAAAGAGAATCTATTATATCCATTCTACTAAGACCAGTAATCATTTCATGCAACTGTGCGTCTTGATTTTGCATGTGTTCATTAAGATACATATTCCCTAATGTATTATATGGTGAGTTTGGGGAGTTAATATTATTATTACCATCATAAGATTGTTGATTGTAATCCATTCCAGGAGAGAAGTGTGATGTCGGCGCAGTATAATCATTACAAAATGATGACATCATCTGATGATGATTGTACGCATAATTCGCATAATTATTTGCTGCTGGAGTCGAATTAGGATTAAACGTATTGAAAGAATTTGTTGTGGCACCAGAAGATAATGGGGAAGGATTATTTATATTAACTGTAACTTGTGGTTGAATAGCAGTGTTACAGTTATTATTATTATAAGATTGTTCGGTATAATAATAAGGCGAAGTGGTATAAAGTTCTTCATTATGATTATGAAAGAAATAACCTGCTTCATGAGAAAAGAAATCTTCTTTTTCATAATGACCACCATTACCAGTAGTTGTGGAGTCGCTTAGTACTAGTGGTGTTATTGGAGTCATAGGTGATGATGTTGGACGTAGTAATGGACTTGAACTTGGTGTATTTAATGGTGGTGTCGATGAATTTGGGAATGAGTTAGAAGGAAATGATGTTATTAAAAGGTTCGTTAGGATTGGTCGCATTTTGCTTATCAAAATTTTTAAGACAAGTATTAAAAATCTATCCTGTTATCAATATAAATTTTTAATATAAAGAATTGTTATTTAGATATTTTGTTTTGCTCGAATTTTTTTCTTTTTGTTTAAAAAAAGGATGTATTGTACAGAACTTACCTTTTAAATAAAAGAAAAAAATTCTTCACTAAAACAAAAGATATATTATATTGTATAAAATGAGATAACGGTGTCAATTAAAAAAAAAAATTTAATAAAATAAAAAATGTTTTTTTTTAGAGAAAGGAAAAAAAAAAAATTTAGATTCCTCCTTATATATATAATTTCATTTCATTTTTTTTTTATTTACTATATATATTAGAAAAATTATGATATCATATTATAAATTATGTAATTTTTTTTTTGTGGGGTGAACATTTTGTTAGTATTTTGGTTGCAGTATTTCCCCCTCACTCCAAATCTACTTTAAAAAAAACTTGTATTAAAAAGTATTAAGTGACGCATTATATGATTTTGGCGTGATTTTACACATATAAATACTCCACATTATTTACTGTGTATAATAATTTATAGCATGTAAATAAATAAACATGCATGTATTAGCCACAAAACGAAAAAAAATAATGTCACGCAAGAGTATCAATCTTGATATATCAAGGGTTGATAGATTTCGCTGTGAAACCTAAAATATGCATTAGAAAAATCAATCGCGATTATAATTAATTCTACCCGGAATTAATATAATTTTAGTCAAACTTATAAAATATATATTTCAGTTAAAAACATTTACAACTAAATATAATATATATATATATCTTAATTTAAAGTAGAATAATAAAAATAATAAACTAATTTTATTGTAATTTAACTATCAAATATTCCAGATATTTTTACTTTAAAAAAGATAAATAATACTTCTTTTTTTTATGGCAAAGTGATGAAAGACTGACACAAGTTTTATTTATTTTATAAGAAAACATGAAACAGAGGAATCCTAACAAAATGAAAAGACCCAAAAACTAACAGTCAAGGACTGAAAGCTTCAGGTAAACTCCATATTTAAGTGCTTGCTAACAAGGCCACTTATACAAACCATAAAAATAAAACACCCTGCTAACAAAAACCAAAAGATAAAACCTAACCCAAAATACAAACCCTATAAAAAATTTTTTTTGGATGTATTCCGATTTTTATCTGGTTTATGTATTCCGAAAATTTTCCGATTTTTATTATCCGATTTTACTACGGAAAGTGATCATTTTTCAGAATGATAATTACAGATTTTACCCGAAATTGCTCGGTAAATTTTATGAATGTAACCGGAATATTGTCAGATGTTTTACAATATATATTATCCGAAAGTACTCAGAAAAAAATTTTATTGAATATTACAGATTACAAGTACTTTTTATTTATATTTATATTTTCTAGATATTATCTGAAAGTACTTATCTATGAGTATATGAATAATAATATTCTATCTTTTTGCTTTCTTTGATTTTTGCGAGTAGCAATTTGGTTATTAGTTGTTTTTTTCTTTTGTTGAACTTGATCTCGTCATTATAGTTGAACTTTTATTGCCTCCTATATTTATTAAATTATAAATTGTAATATTATAAATATTATAAACACTAACAAAAAATAAATTTACCGGAATTTCTTGAATCCTTGTATTTGTGAAGTTACTAATTGAACATCAGCTCTTCTTTCAGTAAGAATTACATTTGAAGATGCTTCAATAATTGTTTAGAAGGAATTGATGCAGATTTCTCCTTAATAACTTCGGGTGAGGACAATTGGACATTAATATCAATACTTGATGATGATTTATCAGGAATTGGTGCTCGTGAATTTGGCCTTGTTTTCTTGAGTTTTAGATTAGGGGAGTGATATTTTTTCGTTTGGAAGGTGGATCAATACCTTGTAAATGAGCTTCTTTAACTTTTCTCTTGCGTTCAGTTTCAGCTATAAAATTTATATTAATATCAGATAAAATTGTACATAATAATAACGTACTAAATAATTACCCTAATTTCCAATGATATCTTCAGTCATTTTTTGCAAAACAAAGTCAATAGGAAATGTTGGAAAATCGGTTTTAAACTAAATAACAGTTTAGAAAGTTAGTTAGGTTTAAGAATATGGATGATATAAATATATAACTTACATTATTAATGACATTTTGAATTTTACCCAAAGTTTGTTCTGATGCATATTTTCCTTTTTCACAAATAGCACTTAGCTTCAGTTATCACGAAGACTTCTCAAAATGTAAAATTAATACTTGCCCGATAAGTCCAATATGTATCATATGATAAATAGAGAAAATCTTTCCAGTCCTCTTTTGGTCATATAATTTTTTCCATTTTTTCATTCTTCTTTAGTAATAGGATTTTGTATTAAACCACATGGAAACTAACAATTACCGTATTATTAATATCACTAATATAATTTTATCACTAATCTTATATTTGAAACATTTTTTGTATTTAATTATAATGTCTGCTGTAGGAGTATTTGATGGTATAACAGTAGAAATAGGCGTTGGAGTTGGCGATCATCATATCATAGCAGCTTATTCTAAATTTGTTATAATATCTAAATAAAAGTAATATTATGGTAAATTCAGAATATTTAAAAATTTCAATAAATCTTTATCCTCGAACTACTACTCAAATAATATTGCTTACTGTTATAATTTTATATTTACCGTTAATATGTTAATTTTTTTATTTTTTTGAATATTTTATAAATATTATTGTAGTAGTAATATTAAAAAAAAATAATAAGAATTAAGTTCTAAAAAGCAAAGATACGCTTTTATTTATACTTTTATACTTCAATGATCATTTATTGCGAGCTTATTTTTTTTATAGATTAAAACTAAACGCGTTTTTTAAACTTATATACATGTTTTTAAACGCGTCCACTTATATTGATAAACTTTTTAATTTAACTAATTTATTAAGTGATCTACATGAAATTGTTTTCCAGAGTATTTTCAATTTAAATATAAAACTAGATTATTTTCGGAATATTTCTAGAAATTTTCATTTATGTTAAATTCCTAAAATTTGACTAAAACAACATTCGCAATATAATCGGAATATTTTCAGTAATATTCGGAACATTTTCAAACCATTTGGAAAAAAATCGGAGTGTGCTGAATAAAAATTTTTTATAGGGAAATAACGAAAATTGAAAACTAAATGAAAAGTCAAAAAGCAGAGAGATAAACATAAAATAACTAAAATTTAAAATAAGAATCCACAGTTAGTTACAAATTATATATATAATCCTATTAGAGGTAACGTCAGATTTAAAACAAATCACGTGATTCAAACTCACCATCCTAGTATTCTACAACGCAAAAAGCAAATATTCTTTAATTCCAAGTCAATAATGATAATCAGACTAAACAGTCTTTTTGTTTTGTTTCTTTTTCTTCTTTTTCTTAACCAGTTTAGGTGAAGGGTTATCACATAAATCTGCATTCAAACATTCTAACAGTACATAAGGTCTAGCAACTTTTGTATTATACTGCTGTAATTTAAATAGTCGTTAAATATAAAAATAGTTATGTCATTCCATAATTGCATTAAAATCAGCCTGTAAAGCTATAATAGTAAGATCTTTGTCTTCAAGATATTTGTAGATTAGTTGTGTAATAATATATAAACATTTTTTAAGAAGTTGCGATATCATACATTAATCTACATTTTATGGTATATAGTAGAAATTGCGGTAGATATCTTTGCTCCATGACCTGAGTAATGTACAAATTTTTATCTATGGGATACGGACAATTATATCGTCCCATTAAAAACAAAATATTTCGCTTCTATGAAACACAGTTTCCCTTCATTTAAATGAATTAACTCGAATGATATCTAACTATTAACATCAATATTTCTATGCTAAGACAATTTTTATTATAATAATAAGTACGTTAATAAATGTACGTCTTTTCTATCAAAGAAAGAAAATAGAAGTAAACGAAACTCTCACCGGACTTATTTCTTATCAAGAACTTTTAATAACGATCCTGTCTTTTACAGGAGTTGTTCTTTAATAATATTTTTGCCAGTTCTATATTTTCTTATTAATCGTGAAATACTTTATTACTTTTTGTCTCTCATTTCAGGTAAAGCTCAAATTCCCTAATTTTTTGATCCCATTATCACTTTTATCTACAGTGGTGATCAAAATTATTTGGAATGATGAATCTGGCATATTAGACAGTTTTTAATGCATTTTTTTACATATTTTGCCTCTTTCTTTTTCCAAAAAATAATGCTCACCACTGTAATTCAAGATCCTAGTTTTAAGAAATAATCTCTCAAAGAAAGCATTTTTGCTTCATACCATTCACCTATTTCTAATTCCCCTTCTACTCTTAGGCTAAGAAATAAATTTTATGTAATCTCGAAAGGTGCCCAATAATTTCACCTGAGTCTCTAGATCATTTAACTGTCTATTGCAGTCTCCATAAAAGAAAAATGTTTATTCAAAACTTTCATCTATTGATCCGTAATTTGATGAATATGTTTGATATTATCTGAAAGTCCTATTGTTTTTATATACAAATGATATGGTGAATAAGAACATCCTGAAATTTCATTTTCAATTATAATTGATATGGCGTTATAATTTAGAAAATAGTTATCCATGCAGAAATAACTATATAATGATACGCAATATAGTTGATCATTTCCAAAAGATGATTTTTACAAATGATGTATATCAAATGGAATAACTTTATACAGAATACAAATATCGAACACGAAAATTTTTTGTTATCCATAATTGCTTATTGTCTACATTTCCGTATATTAACTATTATTTCTGTTGTCTACCAAAAAACATTACGCATGCTCATATTATTTTATGATTTATTCTTTTCGCAATTATCATGACCAATGACTGTGGCTAGTTGAATAAAAGATCTTGAGAACATTATTTTATCGTCATAATATTTTAGTTAATACTAGTAAACCACACTAGTCCTAATAACAAAAAAAAATTGGGTAAACTTGAGTGGTTTATACCTCAGCCCACATTGATGACTATACGATGCAATAATCCAAAAGAGTTCTGTTAAGCGAATACGAATAGAAACTTTTTTTTATTTTGCCAACCCACTGTACATACAGTCATACACATCCACAATACCCAAATGTATTATATATTGATTAATAAAATAAATTTCTAATACGACTGAAAAAATTTCGCTCGTTATTAAGTTAACTGCCTTGAAATATATACAATACAGCCATAAAAATACACGTTTTAGGATATAAGAATGTTAAAAAGTATGCTAAACTTCCACTGAAGGCTCCAGTTGCAAGACTTATTACGAGTAATTTATGTTGCTTTTTATCATAGTCTTTCTTAATCTTTCTCACTTCATTCTCCTATTTTTTGTTAGCAGTGGCCTTCCCTTCATTTTGTAAATTTTCTTCGTATTCTTTTTTTGCTGCTTTTTTATCTTCTTGTACTTGACACACATTAGCGATGTATTGTTGCCAAATCTCTGTAGCTTTTTCTGAAGCATAGACTCCCGGTATAAGAGCAATAAGCCGTTTGATCTCATTTAAATAAACTCCATAGTTTAGATTAAAACTAAAGTTGGGGTTAAGAGAAATCCCCTAACGACTATTTAACATTTCAACAAAATTGGTAAATTTTATATTCCAAATACATTTCATTTTTTCTGGATTATCCATTTGACTACTATTAGGTCTGGATAATACAACTATAGCATATTCTCTTAGTGCATCATTTTCAAAAAAATTTTTTATCAGTTTTAAGGTTTTGAGTTGTTCATGTATAAGCCAAGTCGCTTCTGTAAAGTAAATCAAGTAAAATAATGTAAAATTAAAAGTAGTTTCATTGTTAGCTAGACAGATGTAAGATACAACTGTTAGCTATATACTGAAAATAATTAAGATAGCCTTTATTCCGCAAGCGCATCATAAAAAATAATCAATAATATGCTTTTGTATTTATTCTGTAGAAGTTTGGCTATCAAAGAACCTGGGCGTGTCAATAATGGAATATTGAACTTCATCAATAAACATTGTTTTTGCTTGACAACTATTCGTGACAGGATCCTATATACAGTATATTTTCAGAATATTCAAAACATAATTTTTCAACTGCTTACCATATAGGCTAAAGCTTCAAAAGAATCATTGTTGTCTCTGATAAGCATGTTATCCATAAAGATGCGATCCAAAATCCAAAAATTTGGATTATCTGCCAATCCATCCGATCCAAATAGATAATGGATGCATCTGGATGGATTAAGGATATCCATTTTAATCTGAAACAGCATTCAATAATCGTACAGAGATGCACAATAGCTCATTCGAATCATCATAATGAGACGATTTGAATAAGCCATTGTGCATTTTTGTACGATCACTGGATGCCGAGATATTCGGCAAAACATCAAACATCAGCATTTTCATTTTACGATTATGCAAAATTTTACGTTTTGCCGAATATCTCGGCATCCAGTGATCGTACAGAGATGCACAATAGCTCATTCGAATCGTCTCAATGCAACGATTCGAATGAGCTACAGCTGTCTCTTATACACATCTAGATGTGTATAAGAGACAGGNGACATTCAGCAAAACGTGAAACATCAGCATTTTTTATTTACGATACTACCGATTTTTGACGGTTTGCCAAATATCTCAGCATCCAACGATTGTACAGGAATACACAATAGCTCATTCGAATCGTTGCATTAAGACGACTCGAATGAGCTATTGTGCATCTCTGTATTATTACTAGATGCCGAGATATTTGGCAAAATGTAAAATTTTGTATAATCGTAAAATAAAAATGCCAATGTTTCACATTTTGCCAATTATCTCGGCATCCAGTGATCGTATAAAAATGTATTATAGCTCATTCGAATTGTCTCATTGCAACGATTCGAATGAGCTATAGTGCATCTCTATACGATCGTTAGGTGCCAAGATACCCAAAATTTGAAGTTAATCCAGATTATTCAGATTTAATCCTATGATAATCCGGATTGATCTGGGCAGATCACGGATTGTAAAATTTCATCCAGATCACATCTCTAGTTATCCAGAGTACTTTTATTTTCCTGAACCTATTTCAATAAATTTAAATATAATAATGGAAAGAAAGTGTAATGAGCTTATTATAAAGATATTTACCTGTTTTTTCTACTATCAAAATTCAAGATAACAACATAGCAGGCTTTCCAATTTTTAAATAATTACATAATGATCAGCATATATATTATTTTTAGTTTTTTATTTAATAAATTATCTGTTATGACACCATAATAAATAAGGGCATGCCAGAAATCAGCTGATTTGAAAGGGGGTGGGGGGAGTTAAGCTTCAGATCAGGTTTATATATATCACGTGACATTTATATATTTAAATATAAATATAAGTAATTTAATTATTTTTATATATAATTATTATAATGCAATTATCTTGACTTCTAGTGATTTAATTTTAATAAACTTTTTTTTTAATTTATAGCTCTCATTTAGCTTTAAAAATCTAGCTTTACAAAACAAAAAAAAATTTGTTTAAATTGAATTACTAAAAGCCAAGATAATTGTATTTACATTATAATAATTATTATAATGCAATTATCTTGACTTCTAATGATCCAATTTTAATAAACTTTTTTTTGTTTTATAGCACTCATTTAATTTACAAATATAGCTTTACAAAACAAAAAAAAGTTTGTTCAAATTGAATTACTAGAAGCCAAGATAATTGTATTTATAATTTATATTATAATAATTATTATAATGCAATTATTTTAACTTCTAGTGATCCAATTTTAATAAACTTTTTTTTAATTTATAGCACTCATTTAGCTTTAAAAGTCTAGGTTTACAAAACAAAAAAAAGTTTGTTCAAATTGAATTACTAGAAGCCAAAATAATTATATAATACTAATTATTATATATAATATTTAATATTTAATAGTAATAATTTTTTTAGCCAATCAGATTTCAATTAGGTGGGGTGGGGTTAAGGCTAATTGAGAGAAATCAGCTGATTTCTGGCATGCCCCTAACTAAAATTCACATTTTCTAGTAATTTTTAAATGACATAATACTAACATAATTGTTTGTATATAGATATGTATTTTATTGGCTGAATATCATATGTATTGTACATGTAATAGCTGTACTAATTTATTTTAATTGTGCCACAAAAAATTTAATAGCGAAGGATGATAAAAAAAATTGATTTTTCAGGTCTTGTTTAAACATATTACAAAGAAATCTGGCTATTGGAAAAGGAATCCAGAAGTTATAAACACTTGAAACCTTCTTATAAAATGAAAATAAGTATAGTACGTTTATATTATTTGGCTTTACAAAGAATTTTTGACAAAAAATAGTTGGAATCAAATAAAGATATATTTTGACACTCTAGATTCTTCTTAAGTGTAAGTTGTAAAGTTTTAAACTAGGAAACGGAAATCGTTGTAAGTCTGGAATGATAGATTTGTACAAAAATCCAAATATCTTTAAAAATTTAATTTGTACAAAAAATCTGGCATCCCTAAAAAAATAAAAATGAAAAATGAAACGTTAGAAACGTTTCTTTAAGGTTAAACAAGTAAGAAAAGCCCTCACAATTTACCTTTAAAAGTCCGGTATGTACAAAAAACCTGTGTTCCTAAATAAAAAAAAATAAAAATGAAACGCTAAAAATGTTTCTTTAAAGCAAAACAAATAAAAAACAACTCACCAGTCCAGTATGTTATCACCCCCGTCTGCCACCCGGCGGTAAACAAAGTTCCCTGCTTCTATTATATGTGTTCTCAGCGAAACATTAATATTCTTGCTTAGTTTAGTTTTAAATCTTTAACTTAATTTTCATCATTTTCTAATTCTTTATATTCATATTTACTTCATCATTTGAATACTTATTTAACATTAATTAAAACTTAGGTGAAACATAAGTATATTCGAGATAACTTTTAATAATTAACGTTTTTACAAACATTTATGAACCCTTCACCCATATGATTGTGTACATTCAGACTAACAGAACTATTATGTTCGTGCGTTTCTCATATATCAAATGGTAAAGGAATCCATTATTTAACATACTTTTTCATCATAAGAAAACAGTATAAAAGAATCGATAATCATTAATTAATGGGTAAAAAGTACTTTATTTATATTTTGATCTTCATAAAATTCACAACTAACTAAATTACCTAAAATTCAAAATCCTCACTGGCGACTGTAGAATTCACTTACCATTCCGCTCCTATTTAAACCAACTTTCTTATTCTTTCTTTTCTTACTTCTTATTTCTTTCTAATATTTTATGTTATGTGTTATCTTTTATACGCTATCTTGTATGCTATCTTTTATACATGATTTTTTCTATATGCTATTTTATATACTATTTTATATGTTATCTTTTCTTTCTTTCAAATATTACATAGTAAAGAAATAATTTATAATCCATCTTTTGTGGCTGTGCTATCTTTTTGTATCATCTTTCCATATTATCTTTTATATTATCTTTTCATATTGTCCCATAATCTATCTTTTGTGGCTTATAGTTCCTCTCCCTAATTATTCCTGTTGACGAACTTGATAAATTGGTTGCTAAGCCGCATCGATCGACCCTCTGATTGATCTATTGGTTCGTCGTTAATCATTTAATAAATATTACATCATGTAGATCATTCCTTTTCCTAAACATTTATCCTTTCTGGCTAATTATTTATCTGATCATGTGACTTTCTATTCTATTAAGTTCGATATCCATGGTTACAATGTACAAGAAATCTAGAAACCCTAGGAAAAAAATAAAAAGTCGTTTAAAGAAAAATATACTTACTAGCCAAAATCTAAAAAAAAGGTAATCATAAACTTATTTATTTTTGATGTAGCACAAAATTTCAATACACATTCTGTGCGGACCAATCAGAAATGACGCGTGCGGACAACTGGAAATCGCTATGTGACACTAATTCTCATTGACCTTCGTAAAATTATATAGTCCTTCGCTACGCTCTGGACAATAATAAGTTTAGTGTCAAAAAAATTCTTTATTGATAGAACTCCTTACCATTTAAAGGATCAGATAGGATTTTTAGAATTTTTTTTTCCTTTATTAATAAATTAATTATTTCTTTTTCTTTTTTAGGAGTTGACTTATGAATTTCATCAGTATATTCTATTAAAAGCTTAAACAACATTCTTTAAATAAAGTGAAAGAAGTTTTATGGCTACAATTATTGGTAAGAAATATAATTTAAAATTTATGTCAGGTTTTGATTGTAATAACATTATTGTTAATTTATCAACATACACATATGCTAAATAAATAATTTTTTATTCCTTTGAAAGGTGTAAATGTGTTCTAATTTTGGAATCAAAAATCATGCAAATTGAATCATTAGATAAGGAGATATTTACGTTCAAATGCAAGAGTTTATGTCAAATTGATAGTAAATATATTGAGAGTATTTATTAAGGAAAAAATGATTCAATAAATGAAATTTTTAACTTTTTGGATAGATCTCATTCTCTCCTTTCAAATAAATATAAATTCATTTTTCTAGCATGTATATATGTTGAGTTATTTATGATTTTGCAACAGGAATTATAATAGATTTTTAATTTATATGGAAGGTACATATTAAAATTCTTGAATTTATTTCAGATTCTAATAAAATTTTTTTTGAAAATATATTTTATTAATATTTATTAGTTTGCAAGATTTAAAGTACGATTATTATGTGAGTTTTTAAATCTGCCAGTCATTTATATTAAAAAATTACGTAAAATGCATTAAATTAAAAGTTACTACTTGCAAAAATCGGTCAATAATAATTCAATTTGAATAAAACTTTGTATGATTAAAATTTAAATTATTTGCAATATTTGAGGTCATATTAATATGTAGAATTTTATGCAATGTCTTGTAAGTTGTAACGGCATTTTATATCATGTGATAAAATCAGAAAATAATCAGCAAATTAATGTGATAAATGAAAAAGCCCGCTATATTTAAGATAACAGGATCATTATTTTGGTGTTTAAAAAAAATGACAGTTAAAATTTATCATCAATAAAACTTAATGGCGAACATTTATTCAATTGGTTCACTTCAGCAGTACGGCAGGAAAAAGAGTTAATTTCATCAGTTGATTGGCAAGGATTCTAATTTAATCCTGATTTTGGATGTTTCACAAAAAAATTCCAATTTACATGGCAGGAGAATAATTCTCCTATTTGTATTATTTCTATGGAACTAGTCTTGTTAATCAAATTTTTTGTTTTCTTATAAAAAATAAGCGTTGAGTTGTAAAAATTTTTTTTATTGCCCGCAAATGTTTTGAGCTTCTAGTGTTTATCATCAAGTTTATAAAATTTTTTTTTCCAGACGATCAGTGCCAAGGTACAATTCAGATATAGTAAATTGAATTATAAATACATGATTATTAATATTTATTATGAGTAACCTTTATAGAATCATGGAGAAAATTACGCTCACTTGTTACCTCTATAAAATAGTTGAGACTTATCATATTGAAGTAGATACTGCCAACAATCTTGGCTGTCTTGTAGAAAAAATTAAGCAGGAATTTGCATGTAATGAAGCCAAATGACAATAGTAAATTACCTATAGTTCTTATTGGTTAATAACTTTACCGAAATGTTTCACTTGATATCTTTTTATATTTATTCATAGTCATTCTTATTTCACATGAAGTAAGAAAATATCGGAGTGCAAAAGATATTCAATTTACATGTCAGAGTCCCATACAATGATGTTAATCAATTTTTTTCATTTCCTTACAAAGAAAGGATGTTGAGTTGTGGCAATTTTAGCTGATGTTTATCATGAAGTTTGTGAAATTTTTTTCCAGACGATTAGAGATACTTCATGTATTTTTTAGGTATGATAAATTGAATTATAAATATGTGGCTATCAATTTTTACAGAATCATGTTAAAATCGAGCTTACTTGCCACCTCTATGATAAAATAGAGGAAAATTCTGTTCTATTTCCTGTTAAGATCCTTATGAGTGTAAATATTAATTTTCTTAAAAAAAGAGTTTTTGAAGAAATCAAGAAAAAATAATGACATCATTTCTGATATTGAGGCCGATGACTGATATGAAGGAAGAGAATTTTCAAGTCTTAGTCTGGAAAACAAAAGTCGTAAAGAAGCTTGAGGTAACAGAACTTATTAGTGAGTACTAGAAAAAGCAACCTGAAAGAGAACGCACTTATGTTATTGTTGATTCGCTGTTATTGATCAAAAATTGGAAGAATTGAAAATTGATCGAACAAATGGAAAATTTAAATCTTAATAACGGAAGTAGGTATTGAGATGTTTATTTGCTTGTACGAATAATTTTTGATCAATCCTACACTCTTTATATTTAGATGAAAAAGTAGATATGTATCTTCAGAAAGTATGTGATGCAGAAGTTATTAAAAAAGACGATGAGATATGGACATCAAGAGAATATGTATTAAGGAAAGATGGAAAGCATTCTAAAAAATGGGTTAATAATGGATGCAAGGTAACTGAAATCACCAATGGTAAATTAACTGCAATTCTCGTTAGTTATGATAAAGAACTAAAAGAAATTTTTTCATTAAATATACTTGAAGAATGTTGCTTGATAAATTTGGCCTAGATAAAGAGTATAGACTCAAGGATTACCATGATTGTAATGAAAAAATTAAAATTAAACGTGAAGGGAAATGGATAGGGAACATTAGAGAAACTTATAAGAAATTAAAGTTATAAATTTGGTGTTGTTTGTATAATCATAGCACTTATTATTAAAGCTACTTGGCGTATTAGTGAATGTTGTATACATGCTGCCCAAATTATTTTGGGATGCCATAATTATAATTTGGGATGCCATAATTCATTCAGTTTATATATAATTTACTATGTAAAGTGCCAAAATAATTTGGGATGCCATAATTGAATTTGGGATTTTACTTATAATTACGGCAGTCCAAAATAATTTGGGTGGCATGTATAGAATGTTGTCACAATATCTAAGCCATCGAAATGTGTATCACTTAGTGTTCCATTAATAGCAAAATTATTCTTAATGCTAAAATATAAATACAGAAAAATGTGTTTTTGCCACAGAAATATGACATTACTTAATTGTCTGGTTCTGGAAAAGCCATTCAGAAATATAATCTCTATTAAAATTAAAGAAAACGAAATAATTGGTGAACTTAAAAGACATATTAAAGCTGAAAAGATTACTTTGAAACTGTTGGTGCAAGTGACTTCAGATTATGGCACAAATACCTGTATAGGAAGCAGTAATACAATTCCTTCTTTTGATCTTTCTGATAGCAATGAAATATTATCATATTTTCAAATCAAAGATATTTGGAAAGAAGATCCTCCCAAATTCAATCTTTACATAATTATTAAAATCGAAGGTTAGTGTTGCTTTTTGCTTACGTTAGTCTTCTATTACAATAAATAACAAAAATACTTGCAATCAGTTGTTGCCCTCAACTGTATAATTTCTGGATATCCTTCTGATACGTATTACCCGATTGAAATTTCTATAGAAAGAAATGTTGGTAAACTTAAGTCTATAATCAAAAAACGATGGAAACCTTGTAATAACCGAAAATATAATAAAATAGAATAAGGATAAATAATTAACCGATGGGTAAATAATTAGCCAATAAAATTATATTTATAGTTTAGTTTAGTGTAACGAGATAGTCATATGATAATAGATCTTTTATTTTCTTAAATTTTTATTATTAGAAAAGATAGAAGTATTAGAAATAATTTTTCTTAAAATGTATAAATACAAGTGGATTTCGATAGGAAATTCCGCAGTCAAATTTTGGCTCAAATAAAATAATATTAAAATATTAATTATTAAAAAGTTATTCAAATATGAATATGCTCATTGTACACTTGAGAATTAATTAATATTATATTATTAAGTTCGAGAATTTAAAATAATATTTTGTAATTTTTGTAACTAATTTTTATTTTAAACCAAACATAGATATTATACGAACTCAACACGTCAATGGCAACATACGATATTTTATTTTAATATCCTATGGGCAGCGTGTCACATTTTTGGTGCATACTAAGAGAAAATAAAAGATTGTTGTCTTCATACAAGATCTAAATGAGAAATAAAAGAAAATTATATGAGAAAATGAAAGAAAGATTTGTAAAATTAATAAGAAAAGAATGATATGAGAAATCATCAAAGAAATATGAGAAAAGGAAGGATGATATGAGAAATCATCAAAGAAATGATAAGATAAGGAAGACTTATCTGAGATATGAGAAAAGTGTTACTATTTATGAAAAAGGATATAGTAAAAGTAATATTATGAAAAAGGAATATTACGGAATATATGAGAAATGAAAATATACGATATATTGAAAAAGTATATATCGAAAAAATGAATGAAATATTCAAGATAATAATGAAAAGATTAAAAAAAAAAAATTAAATGAAAATAAAAATTTATAATAAGAATGAATTTTATGAATAATAAAAGTTAATAAATAATTGAAAAATTTAAAAGTATTATAAGAAAAGAAAAGTTAGTAGTAACAAACCCGTAAACTACTATACTTCTATGAAGAAGGTAAAAGCAAGCCAGGTATAGGTTACTAAATGAAAGAGAAAATTAAAGGATATTGTAAATATGAGAAATATTGAAATGTTATTATTTGATATATGAGAAATAATTTTATTACAATAAAAGAATGATATGAAAGATTGTAAAAGATAATAATGAATTATATGAAATAAATGATAATTTAATATAAAAATAAAAAGAAATTGCGTAAGTATGTTGCGTAAAGAATATAGAATGTAATAAAATATTTAATTAGAAAGAGAGAATATGAGTTCAGTTACAGAAATAAATAAAATAAAATGAGAATTATACTGCGACAAGTCATGTGTTAAAAGCACAGTAAAAATCACGTGAGTAATATAAATCATGTGATGAGGCACAGTAAAATAGAAGAAAATAAAAGAAAGTATAAGTCACGTGTAGAGCTCTGAATGGGTCGGGTCGGGTCGGGTAATTGACTTGACCCGACCCAAGGCAAGTCATGAATTTGGTGACCCGACCCGAATATCACGGGTCAGTTCGGATACCCGACCAGACCCATTGACCCAATATATTTTGAGTCAAAAAAACGTTTTGGCACTTTTTATTATGCCAAAACGCCTTTTTTTTTGTTTCTTCCAATGAAAAATGTCGGACCCGATGTTTTTAAATTAAAGAAACAATTTTTTTTTGTTTCTTTTAATAAAAAACGTCAGGTTCTACATTTTTTAATTGAAGAAACATTTTTTTTGTTTCTTTTAATGAAAAAACGTCAAACCCGACATTTTTTAATTAAAGAAACATTTTTTTTGTTTCTTTTAATGAAAAAACGTCAAACCCGACGTTTTTTAATAAA